AGGTGATCCGGGGTTGCCAGGTTTTCTAAAAAAAAAAAAAAAAACAGCAAATTGCTACTCAAAACTAGCCCAAAATTAGCCCAACTGCGTTTCGAGGGGGGTTCACCGGTAAAAATCGCGTTCCGGGGTGTTAAATACACATATTTCGCCGGGGTTCCTCCGGTAAAATTTGCATTCCATGGCTAAATATCACGTTATTGGGGTCGATTCAACCAGTGAACCTGAAAAACAACCCACGGCAACAGTGTTAAAGTAGCCCAATTCCATGGGAAAACCGCAGACTTGGCAACACTGAGGTGATATAAAAGAGGAAAGTAGGCATTTGGACCAAATCACTGTGAGGCAAGGGAGGGGGAGACTCAGAATGTTTCAAAACTTAAAATGCATTTTTGCCTCGTTTGTGTTGTTTTATTACTTACAAAGTATAAAACATTGTTATTTACAATACACAGTGTGGTTTTTTATCATTTTTAGGGGGGGGGGGGGTCAGATAAGGGGGGTCCCCCACGGGATTTCCGCCTATGCCTACATGTATTTAGCTCTACTCTAGTTGCTCAAGTGTTTTGCTGGTCATAATTGTTTGCTTTTAAGATTAATTACTCACATCCCAGTGTTATTTTATTATATCATTCAGCGAAACTCTTTTTTGCATTCCTTGAATGAACAGTCTTCATTGAAACACATTCAACCTCCTACAGAGAAAGATTTCTGAAAGACTAAAAGCTTAAAAATATGATAATTAGCATCTGGTTATGGTCATTATTAAGGTGTTTCTTACGTTATCTAACTGCAATTATAGTATAACTGTCTATTATCTAACGAGAAACAACTATAATGCGCTTCATAAAATACCACTACTGTCCAGATTTCCAAGAGGTCAATTCATGCATTAAAATGTCAAAAAATGCAGTGACACACTTTACTTCCGTATTCCTCAGTTCTTATGGAAGCCTATGGGAGTGTCGTAGCTCTGTTTCTCAATGGCTCTGCATACATCTCTGGATGTTGAAAATGACATCTCCCATCATTCTACTCTCCTTTATAGCGTTATCAAGCTTCGCCTTTCTTACTGTTTTGAAAATGTGACCTCTAGCGGCGAAAACTTGCATATTGTGCCTTTAATCTTCAGAGTAGAATCTGTTCTCACTCTTTCCCTCAATCTTTCCAGGTGAGCGTTCACTGACCAAGGATAACCACCTCCTGGGCAACTTTGACCTGACCGGCATCCCTCTGGCTCCCCGCGGCATCCCTCAGATCGAGGTCACCTTCGAGATCGATGTCAACAGCATTCTGCGCATCACCGCAGAGGACAAGGGCACGGGCAACAAGAACAAGATCACCATCACCAATGACCAGAACCGGCTGACGCCCGAGGACATCGAACGCATGGTGAAAGAGGCCGAACGCTTCGCCGATGAGGACAAGAAGCTGAAGGAGCGCATCGATGCCCGCAATGAGCTAGAGAGCTACTCCTACTCCCTGAGAAACCAGATTAGGGACAAAGAGAAGCTGGGTGGCAAACTGTCATCCGATGACAAGGAGGCCATCAAGAAGGCCATCGAGGAGAAGATCGAGTGGCTGGAGCCTCACCAGGACGCAGATCTCGAGGACTTCCAGGCCAAGAAGAAGGAGCTGGAGGAAATCGTGCACCCCATCGTAAGCAAGATGTACGGCAGCGCGGGCGGCCCGCCACCAGAGGATGAAGACGAAAAGGATGAGTTGTAAATCGTCCAGACTCTGTTTTCAGTCGCATGATGCCCTCGCCTCTCTAGGTTTACATATTGAACACACTGACATTTTTATACAAGACGGGCAAACGTAAAGACTCAAATCTCTTCAGGGAAAAACTTGGTGGGTAGAGTTAGAGAGTTGCATTTTTTGTCTAATTTTCACTTAATTCTGGTGGGATTCTGTCAGCGCGGTTTGAGACTCGATTAAGGGTGCGGGAAAACGAATCAAACAAAAATAAATTTTAAGTGAAAGAGAGTTGTCTTTCTAATTTATTTGAACTCGTAGTGAGGGATAACAATGTCTCCTATTAAGGGCTCAGGTGTGTCGTTCCCAAGCTAGGATACACAGAGGAAAGAAAATGGTAAGACAAAGTACAATTAAAAAGTAATAAATGGGCAAAATAAGCAAAAATGAAATTAAATAAAGAAGGAAATCAATAAGTTAAACAATAGTGACTAAGTGTGTAACCAAAACAGGAAGAAAGAGTGGTAAAACGCAATAAAATGAGTAAGTATAAGTCTGAATAGAATATATTGATAGGGTTAACAGATCAGTTAGGTAGAATAAGTTTACTTAAACTTTCACAGTTCACGGCTTATTCGTACCTAAAATGATTAGGCATGAGAGGGGATACTAGAAGTAATGATCATATGAAATGATCTGAGGGAAAAATTTGAATGATTCCAAATAAATTAATTGTTTTAATTAAATTTGAATTTGGCACAATTAATAATTGTGAATCAGCATTTCCCTTTCTAGTAAAATGCAAATAAGTGGTAAGAAGTGAGAAAAGGGAGAAATAAGGGAGAGAAAGAGACCAACAAGTGTATTATTTGAGATGTTTAAAGGGTTAAATCACTTTGGTGTTGCCCATACAGACACTCTATTCAACCACTGGATGTTAATGCTAACTGCTAACCTTTGAGGCTAATGGCTTTAGCATATACTTCAATGTAAACACAACCGTTTCGTTAGCTTAGCAACACCGTGTAAGTTGTTTACAATAGCGTCGATGTGCTGCTCGTGCGCAGTTCAGAGTTGCTCCGGAAGTAGGTTAAGACTTCTGTCACGATAGTAACTGTGGCAACCAAAACAAACTCTAGTGGACTAGCACGTGAATTGTTACATTGCGAGTACAGTTAAGCATGTAACATGAAATGTCGGCGCATTTCAACACTGTACAAATAACAAACACCATTTTAGATGGTTTTGTGGTGTGGCGCTTAAACTCTCAGTTCGTTCAGAGTTAAATTAAATTTTATTCAAATAGCAGCTTCGCGCTGCAGTTGAGGGAAATAGTGATAGCGATCTCGGCGGATCTGAAATCTCCATGCCAGTTTCTCTGGACACCTAAACACAACAGGTTTTCTTCGCTGTTGGTACAAAGTTAAAATTTACTTGATCAAGCTTTTAAAACACTCCCATTCAAATCATGCTCGGACACACACAGTGTTAAGCGAGATTAAATTCACTTTGTGAACAGACACCAACAGGCAAGCATTATTCTCTAATGTTTAACCCAGGGAGTCGAATAGCATAGTTGATTGGGCAATGGAACACGCACTGGCAATCAAGCTATGAATAAGGCTTTGATAAATAGATTGAGGAACACGCTCAAAACTTCTTTATTCACCGATTTATTTCCCTTTAATTACTGCAGTTTAGCTCCGTTCAGCTAACGGTGACTGAGATTCCCTGTCAGGAGTATAGCTATTGAATGACACTGGAACACGCAATGACATCAATTCAGCTATAAACAAGGCATTACAGAAAATTGAGCAACACGCTCAATTTCTACCTTATTGTACAATCTCAGATGTTAACTTGAAGTTCACTTACTGCAGTTTAACAATGGAGAGGCAGACTCGAGTTACAGCCTTCTCTGCATTCATTCATTCAAGTGGCCGCGCACTGCTTACGTCACACACACTAGTCTCGACAGAAGCTTCTCATTGTTCATCCGCAGCAATAGAAAAGATGAAATAACTTGGTTTATGCTCACAATTTAGATTAAACTCCCCGCATCCTCCACCAATATATGTAAGGGAAACAGGTCAATTTAGCTCAAAGGGAATCATTTAAGATTTTAAAGGGAATTTGGACAGAATCACTGGGCGCGTATCTCTGAGCGGCATTGGGTCCCTGATGAACGAATAATTGAAAGTATGGGATTTACAGAATACTCAAATATCTAAATTAATAAACAATCGATATCTGTGATCAGTTTTTGATTAGAAATATTGCCTAAATTTAATGATCAAGTGAAATTGGAGTCAGATTGAAAACAGAGCTAGACAAAATTGAAACTAAGTCCTGATAAATTCAGAAGCGCAAGTAAAAGACCGAATACGCATTAAACCTTCGACCAGGCCGCTGGATT